TCCCCCACCCTGTTCCTCTGCTCTGAGGGTATTTGTGTATCTTCAGTCTTCATACTCCCGTCTCCCAGTCTGGGACCGGGGTGCAGAGAACTGGCTGCTTGTGACACCCAGGGAGCTGAGCCCTGTGTCTCTGAGCAGCGCTGGTGGCCTGCAGCATCGCACACCCTCTGTGAGTACAGACCCTGCTGCTTGGCTGAACAGCTTGGGGGTTTCATCCTTCTTCCCAAATACACCCCATGGCCGGGAGCATGCCCCAGGCTCCTCCATCCTCCCTGAAATCCCCAGCTCCAAAGGAAGCCCTGGCGAGCAGCTGATGAGAGCTGCTTGCAAGCTCCTTGTTCCCATGTGGGACATGTTCCGGACACCAAGCTGGTACCATCAGCAGCCTTGGATTGAGCGTGCCCCTTGGCAGCACTGCCCAGCCTGCCCAAATCCCATGCTGGGCACCACCTTGCTGGGAAGTCCCACTCCAGTCCTGCTTTAGCTCTTTACCTGATTCTTTTCCTTCCCCCAGGAATGCCAGGAATGAGGTCTGAGGTTGGCTGGGCTCCCTGAATCCATTCTCCCAGTCCAGACCTGCATCCTCTCCTCAAATAGGCCTCATTTAATGGCGACTGGCCCTGGGGCAGAGGCGAGGAGGCATTGTGGGCTTGCAGCAGGAGCAGGTTTGCTGCTCCTCGGGGTGGTTTTCCCAGGGGCTGGTGTTTAAAGCTTGAAGTCTCACAGTACTTTTGCCACCGGCTCAGCAGGACCTTGGCATGGACAGGTAGGCTGGTATCGCATCAAGAGGTGCACCAGGAAGGATGGAGGACTTGGTGCCCGTGCACCACTGGTACCACAGCTGGAAGTAGGAGAGGGTGATGCCCAGGGGGTACCGCCAGCCCCCGGTAGGTGCCCTGGCCAGGGGGTCTGTTTGGGTTGGACAAAGCCTTGGGTGAGGGGTCCCTGCCCATGGCAGGGGGTCAGAACTGGATGTCCTTAAGGTCCTTTCCAACCCAAACCATTCTGTGGTGCTATGAAACAAAACCACAGGATCAGCTGCAGGCAGCAAGGGGCTGCTTGGCAACTTGCCCTGGTGATGGACCAAGGACAGGGGTTTGTGCTAGGGGAAGGCTTCTGACCCATCCCGTATCATTGGGTACCACTGGCTTCAGATGCCTGCTCCTCCTCTTCCCTCCTAGCATAGGGATAGACTCACCAATGTCCCCCGTGTTCACCACCACGGGACTAAAGTCCCTTGGTGCAGACCAGTGAAAAGAGAAACAGAACCCTCCAACCCCTTTGGCTTCAGTCACAAGCAAACCGAAGCCCTGCTTCACAGGGAAGTGCCTAGTCCTGCCTGCTTGGTGGCAATTCCAGCCTGACACAGGCTCATCCCTGCCTTGGGGCTCCAGGTACCTGATGGAGACCCAGGCCATGGTGGCACAGATGAGGAGGAGATGGCAGTTTCCCTGCCATCCGGGGAAACATAATGGATCAAACATACGGACAGTCACAAATGGTGTTTACCAGGGGTTCTTTTCCCAGCTTATTTTAATCCCTGCTTCCTGGTTGTCACAGCCCTGGGGACAGTGAGGTCCTCCCCTGCTCATGGGGGTTTTGGCGTATGGAAGTTGAACAGGGCATTTGTTCCGTGATGGATGGGAGAGTTTACAGCTGGGTTTTGAGCTCATGGTCATGCAGCAGGTTTGGGGGTTGTGGATTTGACCCTTTCCATGTTTGGGACAGGAATACAGTGTTTGCAATGTGAAAATTCCAGCTTAGGCAAAACATTGGCCAACAGCAGGAATGGTTTTGGCTGCTTCTTCTTTGCCACTGGGGCTGGCTGTGCTAGAGGAACAGCGTTTGTCCATTGTAGGAGCAGCCTTTATAGGGAGATAACTGCTTGCTAGGTAATAATATACAATTAGCAGGGATCATCCCATAATCTAGTCTAATTGACAGAGACCATGGATGGTGTTAAGTGGACTGCCAGCAGGAGAATTAGAGGATTGTTAACTGCAGTGTAACCCTGGCACCGGCTTCCCCTTTTGCATCCTTTGCGTGTCAGAGTCCCTTTGTGCCTCAGTTTCCCCTCCTGGGGGAAGCCAGTTCATCCCCCTCCATTTCAATGCTTTACAAGTGCTGCAGCCGTTTAAGGGTTGCTCCATCCTATGCTCCTGCCCCTGTGGTGTACTAACATACCCTGGAAGGGGAGCTCCCGGAGCCTCCTTCAGATGATCAGGGCTCCAAAAGACATCTGTGGCTGCTCCTTGCCTTAACATCTCTTAACCCGAGGCCAGCCCAGCAAACCCTTCCTATTACAGGGCTGCCAGGGAAGCGAATGAGATCTGAAAGTTCGGGTTCTTTGTGCACAAAGCTTTGAAGAGCCTCTTAAAAGCTGAAAACGGGCGAGCCGCTGCGCGCTCCCTGTTCCAAAGGACAGGGAGGGCCTTGTCTGCTCCCGTCTTCTTTCGCCCAAGTAATTTGCAGCAGGACAAAGCTCTCCTGAGACGTGCCTACTGATGGGGAACGGAGCGAGCTGGTGCCTGGTGCTGCCTTAACCTTGCCTTTCAGAAGCCAGGGTCAGCTCTGGCACGGATGAATTCCTGCTCCATCCTTCCTGGTGCTACCCTGAGCCCTAAGCATGGGCAGGGGGAGGAGGCGATGGTACCTCCATCTCCTTGCTGGGTGCAGTAGGTCTCCGTAGCTCTGTCAGCTTTATGTACCCTGCCATTGAAAGAAATCTGTGGGCTTAATGTGGCAGAAAAGGGTTCTTTGTTCCTTTCTCCAGATTGGGTGCCTCCTTCATTTAATGCTTCCCCTGTAGAAAGGGAATCAGCTATTTCAAAGGCACCATGCCAGAGAAACCCATCACAAGGGAGCCCCCGTTCAGCCCTTTCATCTTCCCTTTTAATCTGAAAGGGTTTCCCCAGCATGAAGGCAGGAGCTTGTGAAGAGTCCCTGCCTTTGGAACGTGTCTTACCAGTACCCTGTGGCTGCACAGCACAGCAGCAACCAAGGGAAACTGGAGGGGAAAGAGCAGGACTGCTGAGTGGGTTTGCCACAGGCAAACTGTGGTAGATCAGGTGTTTCAGAGCCAGGACAACCTTGGCAGCAATGCACTTTGTAGGGTTCAGGTGCCTGTGCCCTTCCAGACCCTCTATTTCAAGGGATTTCCAGAGGTCTACAGCTAGTGAATGGATCACAGTGCTGGGAACCAGCCATACAGCATGGATACATCCTGCTGTATCCATGAGTTGCACGGCTCCAGTCTCCCCACTGGCTGCATCGCCCAGGAAGGAGGAGCTGATGAGTAGCGAACTGATTCAGTAGGTAATCTAAGGCATAAATACATGCAGTTGTGCAGGTGAGATTGCTCCAAGGGGAGTATCTGGTCTTTACAGAGTAATTGAAAACTTGATTACTGCCAGGTATTGAGTATCCTGTTTCATATCCAGCATCACCCTTTGGGGGAATGAAGCACTTTTTGGCCTATTGCTTTCTCGTCTCTGTGTCTGTCTTCCTTCCCAACCTTCCTGTCTGGTTTTGTCCTTAAAGCATTCTCTTGTTCTCTGCATTCCTCCTGTCCCGTGAGTCCAACCCTCGGGCATCTTTTCCAGTTCCTCCAGTCAGTTTTATGCAAAGCTGAGTCTGAATCTTCAGCCCAAATGTTACTGCCAGCTTTAACATCAAGATAGAAGAGCTGGACCCAGAGCTGTATTAGATGCTTTTGAAAACAAGTTGGGCAAAAATATTACCCATTAGAGAAACTTTTATAGGAGAATTTTCTCCTTGTTGCAATAAGTTATTTCCCAAACAAAAAGTATTTGGCATGTGTTGACAGTGAAGTAAAAGCCATCCCTGCAATGCATGCCCTGAAGAGCTGTCAGGTATCCAAAATAGAGTAAGTAAATCAATCTCTCTTCCCTGAAGGCTGCTCAGAAAAGGAAGGTGTGAGGGACCAGGAGAGGATGGAAAAGTCACCTGGAAGAGATGGGCCTGGCAGAGCTCTGCTTGTATCCCAAAGCAGAGCCTGATGGCATAGGGCAGACTGAGCCTGTGATTGTGTGGAGCAGGAGTGCTCACTTGCAACTCTGAGCTGTTCCGCAGTGCCTCTGGCCTTGGGGAGGCACTGGCTGTCCCACTCCTACCCCAGGGTGAATGGATGGATCTCAGCCAGGCCAGTATCTCCTTGGGCTTGCAGCACTTCCAAAGGGAGGCACAAAGGAGGAGATGAGGTCAGGCTGTAGTTCTGCTTTCTTTCTAAACACACCTTGAGGACATGGCTGGTGTTCCCACCAGCTTCCCATTCCTCTACCCACCACAAACAATGCAGGGGTGCTCTGGACCATGGCAGGTCCTTGTTGATGTTGCTTTGCTTTTAGATATCACAGTGTTGTATCATGAATGGCATCCCCTCTGCAGGACTGCTTACTAATAAGAGGGGAAAGAATCACCCACATCCCTTTCCTTCTCAGTGGGTTCCCACCAGGTCTGAACTATAAACCAAAAGTGGAACTCACTGAGTTGCTGTTTTCAGAGGACAACTGCCAGTGCTATAGAGCAGTTCCAATCCGGACACCAATTGTCCTCAGTTGTTACCTGCATTGGGCACAACTTGGGTGATCCCTAGAGCTGTCCTGCAAACCAACATACAGCACAGTGTGAACCGGATGTGTGTTCTGATAAGCCAAAGTTCTTTGCCTGTATATGTCTGGGAAACTTCTCTGGCCTGGCTTTTGTTGGAACCAAAGTTCCCCATTTTGAGGATTTTTGCTTCTCATACTTTACCTAAATAGAGAAAACTCAGCACAGCACCAGGAGCAGAAGGCTGAAAACAAATGCTGCAGGTCTGGGTGCTGCAGCTCTGGAAGCAAAAGCTAGGTTGTTCGTTGATCCTGAACCTCTTCCATGACAGCCCAGGATACATGAACTCAATTACAGCTATGCAGTTTGAAGTTATTTAAGTAGGAAATGGAGCTGATTACTTGTAAGAAGTAAATTGAGGGTTTCACATCTCTTGCTACAGCCTGGTCACCAACTGTTAAGTCTTTATTGACATATTATTCATGTAGTCACCTCCCATATATCTGACAGTTTCTCTCTCATACTGTCTCCAACACACTTAACTTCCCTCAGATGAAATGTCTGCACACCAGAGCACTGCTGTGTTCAGAGAAGCCAGCTCTCTGAACGTACCTTCACAATATGTACAGGACAAAATGGGCTTTCTGGCACTGGCCCAAGCAAACACAACAGGGTTTAGATGGTTTTAAGAGAACCTGCAGTTGTCTAATTCAGTTTATGGAGTTCAACACCTTAGGTGAGTTTTGGGTGTTTCTTTAGCTTCTAGTGGCCACAGAAGAAAACAACTATTTATCAGGTCCACATGAGTCAGTCAGGGGTTAGGGTGAAGGTCTGAATAAAGACTAATTCATAGTTTTCCCATGTTATTCATCCTTAAGTGACAGGAGTGCCAACCACAACCATCATAAGATGCTTCCTTATAGCATATTAAGACTTCAATTCTTATGATGGTGAACAGGCAGGTTTCACTCATCCCCATACTCTGTTCTGTCTACCCTGATAACTGAGATAAATGTTTGTGACCAGTCCCTTGTGTGCATACACACACAGAAAACAGGGAGCACTTTATTACCTAACAGCAGAGAAACACCATGCCTGTCACAGCCTTAATAATAGCTTATGGAGAACAAGATCACTTGTGGCACTAAAGAAATCAGAGCAAGTATGAGAGGCAAGATTTCCAGTTTTTAATAACTAGAAGAAATTTAAACAATAGTTTTGCTTACGTTTGTTCACCCAATCATTCTGAATCATGCTGCTTTTAGGGGAAAAAAGCCTTTCAAAGGACTATATTTTTTATAACCTAATTTTATTTAGAAAATTCATTTCAAGTTTCTTTTTTCACATTACAGTAAGAACAAGCACCACATTTAAATCATTAGTGAGGTATGGAAGTCTGAGTGAGCTGCTTGTTAAACAGCAGACACGTTAGATAGCACCTATATTCCAGGGCATGTTGATTTCATTCCAGGGATTTAAAAATGCCCACAATCACAGGATGACTGAGCCTATGCAATAATGGATAGCAAGTTACCAAAACCCATTTTGCATCCAACTCTGGAATGTAGCAAAGGGAAATCACCCAGCTTGGCAAAACAGTTAGCTCTTGCCACTGGCAGGGCCCAGCTACAGCAGATGTGGCTGATCTAGGGTTAACTGGAGTTTGCAGTTATCCACTAGGAATCTTTCCCATGGACCAATTACCCTGAATTCCCAGTATTTCCTACCAGCACAGCACAGAGCTGCTCTTTTATGCTATATTCAGCTGATTACACCTGCAGATCCACATGAGGGATGGAGCTAAACTGAGGTATGACAAATGGGTGGAAGTGAGAAACAGCTGAGTCAGCAAGAATGGTTTTGTAGCAGGGAAATACACAGGAGAATAGAACAAACTTTCCTTGCAACAGGCCAAGTCAGACTTACAGCACCACTTTCATCATTAGTAGTTCTTGTCTTCAGCAGCCCTGTTCATGTGAACATGAACAGGTTGTGAGTCACACTGTCAGCACTGTCTGCACTCCCCTCGCGACAGAAAGGGCTCCTAGTTCCACAACAGAGATGTAGGCACACGAAGTTCTCACTCGGGATCAAGCACAACACCTCACTTTTTATGGCTCTTCACGAACGCAGGGACAGTGAGTGTGCCAGCCTTGACTTCTGCTTGGATTTCAGGTTTGTGCTTTAATGAGAAGACAAGAGCTCGCACCATCCTGCGATACGGAGCGCTAATGAGACGGGAAGAGAGGTGAAAAGCTTCTCGCTCAATATTTTCAGCCAGTGGGTGATCAATCTGAAAACAGCAAAGTATAAAATTAGATCTTTACATTTAACAGGGAGACCAACTGATTGAAACGGGGAGTTTGGTGCTTTTCAGTGTTTCTTCATTAATCAGCTTAGATTCAAGGAAATCTACTTCCCATCACAAGTGTAACAGGAAGAGCAATTTAATTCCACCCTAGCAATTAAGCAACAAGGCAATGTGGTCAGTGGCAGGGAACATATCCGTATCTCCAGCTGGGTGGCAGTACTTTGCCATCACAACAGGAAGCAACTAGCTTTGGGTATCAAGCTCAACTGCAATTACGAGCTAGGTTCCACTGTCTCCATAAAGCTCACTTTTGATCTTGCTGATATAAGGTACCTTGGATACTATTTTAAACTTGATTCCAACAGCAACTCTAAGACATGCCAAACACTTGGCAACTCTGCCTGGTGCTATAAAGGGAAATGTGGGCTCTCTGCGTGTAGAAAGAGGTGTAATTAACAATGCAGAAAGGGATTTGCTAAATGTTAATTATGCAGTTATTGCTTCAACATGTGCCAAAACCTGTAATTTAGCACAGCTCAGAAAAAAATCCCCCACCCATCAAGAAGTAGTTTTCATTTCACTTCAGCCTTTTGTGATGGGAAATCTCCCGTGCTTTGCATGCAGGAGATTCCAGCATGCCAAGCAGTATTCCTCCAAGGCCTTTGCTACTCATGACTAAACTGCCCCTCTGCTGGGCAGCACTAGAAGACCCTTGGATCCACACAGCCCCACCTTCCCTTCTCCTTTTTTGTTACCCTCTCAGGTGTTCCTGCTCCTCATTTGCTGGACCAGCATGGCTCCCTTTCCTATATATACTATCTGCTGCTGCAAGCTCCCCTTGCACCTCTGGTGGGAGCCTCAAGCTGGAAGGGCATTTTTCCTTTCCATGCTTTGTCCAACAGTACTCATTTTAGGGTGGTACCATAGCCTTTACATTCCTATAGTTCAAGACTTTACCACCAGTCTTATTACAATGCATAGATGTGCTTTCCAAGAACTAAGCTTGCAGTGGCCTGGCAAAGGTGAGCTCCCACCTTTCTGAGGCATTCCTACAGCCAACCACCTTTTCTTGCTGCCTCAGTCCTGATGGACTGGAAGTTGGAGAGATTGCTCTCACAGCTAGCAAATACACAGCTCTGAAACTCTTTGAGTGCTTATCACTTGACTTGCCATTTAAAATATAATTAATGAATAAATTAAAAAGGATAATTATTATGGCATTTCATAGACCAAGCAAACTAGTCATTAAGCCTTACAGCAAAGCCCTGTTCATTTACTTAAAGATACCTGTGGGATCTGGTATTTATCTCCACTTTATATACTGTCAACCTTGCCTCTTTGTTTTTGCAATAGATTTAAATTTACAAATGTTTAATTACTTAAATATGAAACATCCAAAAGATCCCAGCGTTGGTTTCACAGCTGTTAAGTAGTAGGAAAAACTTTATGCTCTATTAACTTCCTCCTTCTCTTGTACAGCCAAACTGCAGCAGTACACAACTATTCTGCTGAATGGTTGTGTAAATGAGAGCAAATACACCTCACTTAGAACTGGCATGTCTACTTGGTTAGCAACCCACCCAAAATGATCTTCATTAGGGACTGTAGTGACAGGACAAGGGGTAACGGGTTAAAACTTCAACAGGGGAAGTTTAGATTGGATATAAGGAGGAAATTCTTTCCTGTTAGGGTGGTGAGGCACTGGAATGGGTTGCCCAGGGACGTTGTGAATGCTCCATCCCTGGCAGTGTTCAAGACCAGGCTGGACGAGGCCTTGGGTGAGATGGTTTAGTGTGAGGTGTCCCTGCCCATGGCAGGGGGGTTGGAACTTGATGATCTTAAGGTCCTTTCCAACCCTAACTGTTCTATGATTCTATCATCTAACTTGAAAATAAAGCTACTTATAAATAGGGACATGCAGCAAAACACTGGAAATAGGAACAGATCATCTGGTCTTGTCCTCATTCTGCAGGCAGGGCCAGCTTTACAGTAACTATGTCTGAAAAAGGTTTGTTTAACTTGTTCCTACAAGAACTAACTCACTGAGCTAAAGACAAACAGATCTGAACGTTACCTCTAGAACCAGGGCTTCACAAAGCAGCTTCCGTGCGTTCTTTCTGAAAGCCTCAGTCTTGGGATCGCTCCTGACCTCTATTGAGGGCTTGTTTGAATGGTCTTTGATGAAAGTTCTCCACTCTGTGTAAATCTCTTTGGCAAGGCTGGCCACCTCGTGATCCGAATGCCTGCGCATCTTATTCACTGTGTGACCTGGGAAACAGGAACAGCTCCTTCAGGTCGGGGAGGTGGGCAAAGTAGGAAGGACACCAGTCAAATTGTATCGCTGCTAAAGCAGCCACACACGTTTTGAATTCAAGCAGTGTCAGCAAAGCAACCCAGCGCATCGTCACAGATACAAGTATAGAATTATTAGGAATTAAACCTGAAGTTCTCACTCCTTGACTTCTGCAGTGATTTTTCGCTTAAGCAATCAGCAAGGAATTGACCTATACATGTGAAAATTACCTTCCAAGTCACCAAGCTGTGGAGCAGCACTTAAGTAACACAGGGCTATGTTAATTTTCTACACAGATACTATTATCTGGTGAAAGGTGGTTAAGACTGGCCTACAAAGAATGCTGGTTTTAAACTGAAACACCCTTAAAGGAAACAATTTTAATACGCAAACACCACGGTGACTCCAAGCAGAATCTTTCCAATCGAAAGCGCCTGCCAGTGCAAAAGAGGCTTTCCTGTTAGGAAACAAAAGGGACCTTCTTTCGGCGGGGTACTTCTCTCTGACCACTAGCGCTGTTGGCCAGGAGATGTCACTGTTAGGCTTCGGTGGCTCTTCAGCCCTGCCGCATGCAGGCAAGCACCGAGAAAAATCTCGGGAAAAGCCTGAATAAGCCGAGTATAGCAAATGAAATGACAATTCAGAAGCATGGGGAAAGAGGCAGATCGTATCTAAGGCTAGGGGAGCTCTCTGAATAGAGATCCAGGTGCTCTAATGCCAACCAAAGGCCAGCACGACTGTCTCTCATGCCAAGATGCTCTCCACAAGACAGGGGAGGCAGGGACCATGTGGTTTCACATTATCCCTCCCCCAGCTCCCATGAAAAAGAGCCAGGCATCGGGCTGTGTCATTTGCATGGAGCTGCCCATCTGCTGGGGGTTGCTCGGGGTGGATGCAATAAGCAGTTCTGGGCCAACCTGAGGAGAATTTCTTCCATGTTCAGAGGATTCAGGCAGGTCAAGGACATGAGCCTCATCCTGGATGGCAAGAGAGCACTCAGGTAGCAGGAAAAGGAGTAACACAAGCAGATGCCCAAGAAGAGCTCTTCAAACATCTGACCGCAGGAGGGATGGTGCAGTATTTGGTAATAAGCAGGGGGGAATTTGAGGATAGCTGCATTTTTCAGTACAAGCTCTGAGAACTGCAGGCTGGATATCAACAGTTTTCTATTGGCAGCTATGCTCATCTCTGAAGAAGCTTGCAAGCTAGTCTCTTCTGTACTGACAAGCCAAGCAGACACAAGACAGCCTAATATTCACAGTCTATATCAGGGAAAATGTACCTATTTTTGTTGAAAGTAGCACTTCTTTGGAAGGTATCTTCTTCTTCAGCTCCTCCAAAGCTTCAATCAGATTCTCTTTTGGTTGTCCAGGAAGCTCAAGCATAGATTTCCATCGTTTTATGTCTTCCACGACCACAACTCTCTGGAAAAGAGAAAAGCCATTAGTGGAAATCTTCTTACAAATAAGGGCACTGGCTTCATCTCAGCTAATGAGGCTGTTATCAACACATGAAGTATTGATTATGGCACATGAACCAGAGTACAGAATACATGATAGCCTGGAATGATGGGTACTTGCTTGAGATTAGCAGCCTACTGCAAATGAAGAGCGAAGTAACTAGGGAGCAAAGTGAGATGCTTCACCTTAGTCTGCCAAACTTAGTGCACGTAACAGCAAATGCCAGATAGAAGTGTTTTGAATTTAAGGAGTCCATTGTATAAGTGTCTCTTAATAGAAAAAAGGATTAAGAAGGAGGCATATAATTCTCTTTAGTAGCCTGTCAGGATCTGAATTCTGCTCTGACTGGCTTTGAATTTAAAATAATGCCAGCAGGGAGAGAAACAAAGCATTAGGGAACATGAACACAAACCAAAGTACACTGGTCATTTGCAGTGCTCTTCACCCTGCTTCTGCCACAGACCTTGACACAACAGATCTTTAAGGTCCCTTCCAATGCAAACCATTGTGTGATTCCGTGGCCAGAGACAGTGAAGGTCTTGTATTTCAGATGTGAGTCATCTTACAAAGATTCAGCACTGGAATGAGCTGAGTGTTCTCTGCACCATTCTTTTGCTTTGTGCCTTACATTAATAAGCTCTTTGGTGCAACAAGTGCTTTCCCATTGTGTTTCTGCAAAGCGATGGCTCGGCTCTTACGCAAGTCTTGCGCAGTTCCACCATGCAATCAACTGAAGGGCCCTCCTCAAAGGGGAGAGCTGTGAACCAGCCACCAGTATTGAAGCTGGCGGTGTCAGTTGGCTGTACTCGACCTGCGTGCCCACCCTGACCATCAGGCAGGAATCATACAATCCCAGACTGGTTTGGGTTGGAAAGGACCTTAAAGCTCATCCAGTTCCAACCCCTGCCGCAGGCAGGGACCCCTTCCACTAGAGCAGCTTGCTCCAAGCCCCTGTGTCCAACCTGGCCTTGAACACTGCCAGGGATGGGGCAGCCACGGCTTCTCTGGGCACCCTGTTCCGGTGCCTCAGCACCCTTGGCTAAGGAGCCGATATATAACCCATCCCGGGTTAGGAAACCCCTTCCGATGCAGCAGATCCTTTCCTAACTTCACTTCCCCGCTCCCTGCGAGGATGCTCTCAACACCACAAAGATGTCTGTGCACTGGAGCCATGTTGAACCAAACGTTCCTCCCGCCATGCAGAGACCCCTCCCCTGCCTTGCCCGACGCGCCTCAGGCTCCTCGGGGGTGCTCCCACCACCCCTGCTGGCGCAGCGCACGGCCGGGGAAAGCCTCAGCGGGCCCAGTTGCGGCACCGGTGCCGCGGGGTGACCACCTCCCCTCAGGCCCGTGAGGGGGGGCGCCCCTCCCGCCCATCCGGTACCGGTGACCTGCCTTGAGGGACTCGAGGGTTGCCTGCCGGTACGCGCGGGGGGCCGGCCCGGCCCGGCGGGGGCTCTCCGGGCAGCGGGCCTTGCGCACCACGAACCGGTCCATGCTCCTCCCGGAAGCCGCCGCTCCGCCCGTTCCGCCGTGTAGTTCCCGCCGGCGGTGACACCCTATAGGGTAGCTGGGGCTGCCCCGCGGAGCTGACTACAACTCCCAGCATGCCCCGCGCGGCGGGGAGCGGGGATTACTCTCGCGAGAGCGCCCCGGCCCGCTCCGCCTCACCAGTGCAGGCGGAGGAAAGATGGCGGCGCGGCGGGGCGGCCTCCTCTGCCTGCCTCTCGCCCTAGTGCTCCTGGTGGGTGCCGGCGACAGCGCTCGGGAGGCCGGGCCGCTGCCTGCTGCCTCGTCCGAGGCTTTTGACTCCGTGCTGGGCAACACGGCGTCGTGTCACCGCGCCTGCCAGCTGACCTACTCCCTGCACACCTACCCCAAGGTACGGGCGGGCCCTGCCTCACGGCGCTCGGCGGGGGGGGAGACATCTCGTGTCTTTGCCCTGTTGTGCTCCACGGTGACGGGACACACCTGGGGTTCCTCCGCAGGAGTCCTCTCGGAGGCCTGTGCCTTTCTCGAGCGGTGTTGAGGTGTCTTTAAATAAGCACAGGGTGCCCAGAGAAGCTGTGGCTGCCCCATCCCTGGCAGAGCTCAAGGCCAGGTTGGACACAGGGGCTTGGAGCACCCTGCTCTAGTGGAAGGTGTCCCTGCCCGTGGCAGCGGTTGGAAATGGGTGAGCTTTAAGGTCGCTTCCAACTCAGATCATTCTAGCGTTCCATGGAAGAAGCTCATGCTTGTAGTGCTCAGGTGCAGTTAGTAACCTGCTGCTATTCTTCCGTGGTGTGTCCTCATCTATGTTGATTCTTGTCCCAGCAAAGTAGGGAATGCAGTGGCTTCTCTAAAGATAGATACTTCATTTTGAAAATAGATGGTTAGGCTGCAACTTGTAAAAGAATTTCAGCTTTAAATGCACGGTTTTGTTACTGCTGGGCAGTTTTGTGGGTTTTGCTGCTTTTTCAACTCCTGTTCTTAAAGAGGCAGCTGTAATTTAACTTAGGCTGGCCCCACATTCTGTTGTCCTCATGACAGGCCAGAGATCCTGAGTCAGGGGACCTGTGTGACACTTGAAGAGCGAAGCGTAAATGATGATAAACAAGTAGCTTGTCAGAACCTCCAACCTGTGTTCTGATTTGCTTGCATGGATTTTCTTCCATTTCATGATAAAATACTGAAATAGCATTTAATGGGAATGTAATTTCGTACGCCAGAGTTTGCTGTTGGTTCAGGTGTTATACGGCTTTGAAGTGCTGGCTTGAGTGTGGGAAATCTAGGCCTGAAAATGTCATCTTTCCTTGTTCCTTCTCGGCAATGTACTTCATTATCAGCTGCAGCTATGGAGCAGGTTCAGCTCTAAACGATGGGAGCTCTCACCCTCACCCCACCTTTGAGTTTTCACACAAGGCCATCAGGCAGATTGGTCACAATGTCAGGTAATAGGACTTTGCTTCCATGTGGAACTTAAAATTGGTTTTGTGACTGTACCTGGTATTGGTATCCCCACAGAGAGGGGTAACAGGGAGTTGTGTGGAACACAAGTAAACTTATACCTGTACTTATGGCATATGTACATACGGTGCCTACATGATGATATTGAGGAGAAAAAAACCTAAACCTGAGGAACTGTGACTAAGTATTACCATAATATGTTTCCACACTGGTTTGGTGCAATGCTCTTGTTTCTGTTTCAGGACTTTCTGAGGCAGGCGGATATTTCTGTGATTTTTTGTTTTCATAGTACATTTCAGTTCTTTGCTGTGTTTTGCTGGAGCTGTTGAATAAGACATTCAGCTCTTCCTTTACATGGAGTGTTTTCTTCTGTTTGTCACAAAGCTCCCAGCTGAATTGAAGGAAATCGGTTTAGTTGTCATTGGAAAATAAGACAGGCTTCATTGAGACTTCTATGGAACACTGCTGTAGAAATCTGTCTGCTAAAGCTCATTCTGCCTGGATATCATAGAATGGTTAGGGCTGGAAACCAACCACGTTTTCTGCAACAGCATAACTATTTCAGCCACCTTGTCAGTGGTGTTAGAGTTAAGTTTTCTACCTTTGTGCTTCAGAGCTCCTGTGCTCTGGGAGACAAACAATGGCCAGTTCCTTTACAATAGGTTATGCAGTGAGGTGTGGTATATTTGGGTTTTGTTAACTTAATTCAGAGCCCGTTTTCCACCTGTACAGCAAATGGCTGCAGTCGTTTGAGAAGTTGTTAGTGGTTTTGATGGGCCTGATACATGACAGGATGTGATGGTAACTAGGAGCAGTCACGTTGGAGAGGCTGTGTTTAGTTCTGCAACGTGGCGAGCACTTTATGTGGAAAGTGAATATTCCTCCCTTTGGTATTGTGGACAGAAGAAATAGTGGGTGTAGGCTTTCTAGATTGGCATAATTTTAACAGGTGCAGTGAGGAACAACTTTATCCCTTCAGTTCAGTATAGAATCGTAGAATAGTTAGGGTTGGAAAGGACCTTAAGATCATCAAGTTCCAGTGTGTGTTTGTGGAACTGGTTTGGCAAGTAAGCAGTGACCCAGGGAACTGGGATAGTACATCAGAATGATCTTTTATTTTGGCAGTTCTGTTGCAGTCCTGATTAGAGATTGGTAGATGCTTTGTCATGCACTGCCAAAATTAGCCTTTCTTTTTTTTCCCTCTCCCTTTAGGTTCTAGTGTTTAAGTTCTGACATGGAAGTTATCTAACTTTTGTAGGGTTAAACATCAGTAAATCTTTTACAGCAGTAGCTCTGATATTTAAACCCTTTAAAAACAAAGTGCAGCTTTGCTTGTGAGTTGTAGGGCTGGAATTACAAAACAGAATTTGCTGTTCCAGGTTTGCCCCACCACAGAATGAAGAGCTCTGAAACAGATCAATGTGTGTGTTAGTGTTCAAGAGCTGTAGCTGGGGTTTTATTTCAGATCATCCAGAGTCTTGTGTTTAGCTGGCTTCTAGGTCTAGTGGAAGGAAGGAGGATGGTGTTCTGGTGGGTGGCTTTTTATAGCACTTAACCAAAAAAATGCTTTGCTTTCTGACAATTTATTCTCGAATGGAGGGATACAAACCTGTTCTTGTGCCTCCCCAGGAAGAGGAGCTGTACGCGTGCCAGCGAGGCTGCAGGCTGTTTTCCATTTGTCAATTTGTGGATGATGGCATTGATTTAAATCGAACCAAACTGGAATGTGACTCAGGTAAGACTTCAGCCCTCCTTCAACATCCCATAATGTGCACACATAACAGAGGGAGGAGCAGGAAAAGGTGTTGTTATATTGGTGGGACTCCTTCAGTTGCTTTCTGGTTCTGTTTAACAACTTCTGAAACTTTATGTATGGGATGTGAAGAAAACAAGTAACTCTTAGGAAAAGTTTTCTGTTCTCTGCAAGTTTCTTCTTACCTGAGCCTTAGTGTTGCTGTTTTCCTGACAAGATCTTAAGTATCATCAGTCTCTTTTGGCAATGCTTCATTTTACTATAAACAGTTTGTCATACAAAATGGCTGGGGGGAAAAATCCAGTCAAATGAACACTTTAATAATTCCAAGTTGCACTCAGTCCCATTTACCATGCCTGGCAGACTTCTATACAAGTGAATTGTTCAGAACACAGATCTTGATGTGCTGTCTGCGTTGTAACTTGTGGTCTAGGCTACATCCTGAGCCTTACCTACAGCTAAACTCTTGGGAGCAAGGTATGTGTTTTGTATGAAATACGTTATTAGATACTAGTGACTAATTCTCTCAGATTGGCTGTGTTAGAGCAGAAATTTCATAGTGAAAATCAAATGTTTCCTATAGTCCGTATTAATATCAGGGTTGGAATTGTGTAAAACTTTCATCCAGGTAGCTGATTCATAGTTTTATTCAGAGATGAAGTGGGACATAACCACCCAAAGCGGGAAAGGTAGGAGCGTTTCTCTATCAGAGTTTCCAATACTATTAAGAACTAAACCAGGACTCAAAAGGAGTCTTGTCAGTAGCTCACAAAAACAATTGGGGTAGTGGTTGGCTCATAAGAGCTGATGGAGGGTAGGGAAGTAGAAAGCCTGACATACAGAGATGCTGACATGCTGCAAAACTGGATTAAATTCTCTAGAAATGGGCTAATGCTCTAGTCTGTCATACACCGTGTATAGCTATGATATATCATGTCAGTCTGGTTGTCAAACCACACATGAAAGAGTGCCATAAAAAAGGGTGGTGTAGCAATAGACCACATGTAGAGGTAATTGAACAGTTGCTTACTTCCTGGTTTAACTTTCCTTCCTGAAGCTGTTGTCTTTTGCTGGCTTATGTTCTGTAATCTGTTGGTTGGTGCCCTATTCTGTGCTTGGCAAGATACATCTTGGCTGATCTGCTCAATTCTGTCTTCCGATGCTTCTGTATGCCTACAAACACTAGTTTGGTAGCACTTTTACCGTGGAATCACTGTTCAGGTGCTAGGAGCTGAACACTCAGATGTTTAGTGGCTGATGCCATGCTTCCTGACAGCTTTTTAGTCCTTGTAATGGTCTGTTCCTGCAGAAAATGGGGAGTGCTGCTGTCCTCTGTATTGCTGTTTGGTTTAATTCTTTAGTTCAGGTAGAACTGCAACATTGTCCTCTTAAGCTTTCATTTTAGGGAAGAGCTGTGCCCATGTGTTGTCTGCCTGATTTCTCTGTGGTCTTTTATGATCTCTAGTGCACAACTAATAGAAGCTGTCTGTAAAACAAAGAGTTGACTTCATTAAAAAATGACTCCATAGTACTTCCAGTGCAGTTTCTGTACTCTTCACAGTAGCAGGAAAATGCTCCTCTGATTTTCCTGTCATACTATGACTACTGCTGTTACTTCAAAGGGATTTAAAGGATTGATGGTCCCTCTGTTCTTTTTAGGATTCCATCTCTGTTCTCTGAGGTAAAAAATCATGTTTTACGTGCTATGTAGATGAAAAAAATAGGGGCAGTGAGAGGATCAGTGCAAACCTGCATCCCTGAGTTTGGCCAGGATAATGTTTCTGATCAGTTGCTGTGACTGCATTCAGATTTCAACCACATCATCTGTCAAAGCTCTGATTACTTAATCTCCATTAGACCTCAGAGCAAATGCTACCCTTGGAGTGATTGCCACATCTTTCCCTTCAAATGGGGTTGTCAGTCTTTCA